GTGTGTGAGAGGCGATGAGATGACGAGGAAAGGAGAGGAGGAGGAGGAGAGGAGGAGGAGGAGGGAGGAGGAAGGAGGGAGGGAAGGAAGGAGGAGGAGGAGGCGCGGACGCACACCAGAAAAGGTAAAACCCCACAGTGATGTGGGGAAAAAAGCATAGCAGTCAGCCGTCTGCATCTGGGGCACTTTACTTGCATCACGTCCGAGACTTGATTGTCGCCCCCCAGTAGCTTCATCAGCTCCTGTGCAGATGACATGCTGACAGCAGAATGGCTTGAACATATGATTGCTCAGTCCTCTTTGTCAATATGACCACTGCCATCTTGATCGAAGGTTTTGAAGGCCCTCCAACAAGCTTCCTATCCAACAGAATGCGCAAGATCGATTCTCTGCGCCCTGCCCCCGCTCTGCTTCGCTCGACTCCTCCGCCACGAACTGGCGCTTGTCCAGCGTGGCTGCCATGAATTCCGTATAGTCTATCACCCCACTGCCATCCGTGTCAATCCTCTGAGCCGGCTCAGAAGAAATTGGGTTCTGCATGGTTCTGCCCGAAGCAAAACTCTTAAAGCCGGGGCCCGGACCGATCCATCATAGCATAGAGGTCGGGTGGAACGGCCACTCCAGCCTGTCACCCCACAACAGCCAGGGCCACCTGTGCTCAGATGCCACGCCGGGCCTTGACCAGGCCGTCTTTTAACTCGCTAATACTCAGCGTACCGTCGTTGTTGTCGTCCATGGCAATGAAAAGCTCCTGCTCGCAACAGTAGCTCAGCAACGAAGAGAGCACCCAGTCACTGTAAAAACCCAGCCACCTTCAACTCCCTGATTGCATCGTCCGTGAGCTGCGTTGCAATGATATTCAATGCTGCCTGCCGGTTGGTTGGCACGCTTGAGATGACAAGTGACTTTCCCTCCGATGACCTTCTTCAACTTGTTCATCACCGCAAAGCTCTTCAGGTTCTGCACGACGACCTGCAGGCAATTTGCATAGCACCCCGCATGCGGTACGACCACTTTCGATAAAAACTTCGCCTGCGAGGCATGCGTCATGTCGGCCGGAGTCCTGGGGCAAAGGGGGTCTCAAGTCGCTGTAAGCGCGAAGCTGCAGTTGTCAGGATGAAGCATAAGCCAACGGCTTGACGATTTAACCGAGGTGCGTGTCGATTTGTTTGGTCATCCACTCGTCTTTCAGAGCAGCTTCGGCGCTTACCCTCTGCAAGGGGTCCCTGGTGAGAAGGACCTCACAGCGAGCTCTGAGTTTCAGCTGTGAAGACCGGTCTGTAGCATGGCCTTCAACATGTCCTTTGCCTCCTTGGAGATGAGCTTCCACTCCTCCGAATAAAAATCAGCTACTTTGACTTTGACTAGGTGACTCTATATTTCATGGACGGAGTTGTGCAGATCATTGCAGGCATTCCTTCTTGTCGAACGACAAGTCGGATCTCTTGACCGACTCCAGGACGGCCATCGTGTCATTTCCCGTAAAAGGCGGAGATCCACTCAGCAGGATGTACCTGGAGGAAGCAAGCTTGCTTCTGGGCGGCCTGGGAAAGCGCCTTAAAACCGTGCCGGCCACAATCAGGCTAGTCAAGGCTGCAGCATTTGCATCGGCACTGGAGAGTCCCTACCAGTTCGTACAGTAAGTCCTCTGGCGGCTAAAGCAGACAGCACACATGATCACCCCGATGCTCCACACGTCACACAGCTCGTTGTAGTGACCTGCAAGAACCTGGCAGTGGCTGGCGCGACAGGCACGGCAAGAATGCCCTTGCTGTTTGCATAATCTTGGAGCCCATGAGCAGTATCTGGCAAGCCCGGTCTAACTGGCTTTAGCTTGCTCCAGCAGGACAGCCTTCGATCCATAAAGTAGCTACCAGTACCCAATCCCTCCGAGCTCGCAATCCTTCGTTCAAGTCTTGCTGCGACTGTGCGACGTCCCACAGTCTGCCCCTCCCATCTTCTAGAGCGAATGGCGTAGCATTCCCTGAAAAGGCCTCTGTTGCTAGCGTTTGCGGCACAGCCTTGACCAGTGGCTGCACAGGGCCTACTCGCCACTGAGCGACATCCCAAGGAGCACCACGTGCTGAGCAGCACGGAAGGCAGCAGCTTCCGAACCGCGAGAAATTCGTCTGTCGCGTGCTGCAAGCGTCTTTGAGGTGCCACCGAATCCAACATGCCCCATGACCCTTTAGCTTGGCCCAGGATGGCCATGTTACGTATATTTGCATCTCACCGTCCCCCCACCACCCCCGTTAACCAGTTTCCATGGCATCCCTGGCCAGTTGCTTTGCGTGCGTCACCTGCCTCGTGAGGCAACGTGCGAACTGAACAAAAATCCTCGTCTCGTCCCTTGCTACTCGATTTGCAGCTCGAACCTAAAGCCCTTCGGTCTGTAGCCTCCGGCGCCACGTAGTAGGGAGCTCCAGCCTGAAAACAGGACCAACCCAGGCAATATCTGACAGATCACATCCCAGGCGCCTTCGTGGTGGCAAATTCACCCGGGGTGAAGCGCTTGGATAAACCAAAGTCCACCATCTGCCAAGTCTACAGTGCATGTAAGCTGGTTGCTGAATACGTACTCAAACTGTGACGATTGGGATCAAGCGAGACATGCCCGTAGAAGTACTAAAACTCTGTGCGCGACAGATAGACTCAGATCTGAATCGAACGCATGAGACTAAAAACATAGAAAAAAGGAGATAATCACAGGCGAAGCGACAGTGTGAAGAGCAAGAATCATCAGAAGAAGCATGCGAATGACTGGATAAGAGTGATGGGAAGGTAAGACAGTTGAAAATAGGGATGGGCGAGGACACTGCCCGCGGCCAAAATATGAAAAGAAGTCAAGAAGAGCCTGGTGGGAAAGGCTGAGCCCTTTCGGACAGTTCAGACAGTAAGCCCAAAACGACCATGAGGAGCAACCCGGAAAAACGTGCCCGCAAAATCGTACAGCTCACTCAGAGGAGGGCAGGGCGGTTCTATACTGAAGCATTCGTATGGTTTTCAGCTGCTCCTCACGCCATCCACCAACATGGTTGCTATGCGTGCTCCTATTTCCTTTGGGAGGGAGCACGGGTTTTCGCGGCAATCGGAGGCTGCCTAGCAGTTGGTTATTACAGATCTCGCCTGCCCGACTCAAAACATCGAAGCACATTTTCTTGCCTTCAGATGCGTGTTCTGGATGGCTTCCTTGGCACTTCACCGTCCCAAGTCGAAACCCAAAGCGGCGTCGGATTCGAGCCAAAGATCGGTTTCTGCAAGTAGCCAGTTCTCCGGCTTCAGGTCGCCTTAGAGACGGCTTTCCAGCAGAAGGACACATCTTCTCCAATTGCTGATGACAGGAGTCGCGGCAGTCCAAGGGCACTACAATGCATGATGCAATTGCTGTGCAAGTAGTTCACTGCTCGCAGCATTTGCTGCACGCAATACGCCGCGACCTGCAACCCATGGACAGCAGTGAAGGATTCCCCCCCGCTGTGCTGAATTGTTGAAGAGACGGGGCCTGCTCAGAGAATTTCCCATCTGCAACAATGCGATCGAAGAGCTCTCCTCCAGAACATAGCTCCAACCTGCAGCTGCACCGGTCGTAACAAGCTAAAACTTTCAGGTGCAGGATCGAAAATTACGCATTGACCGAGCCGGAGACACCAAGTACACATTTCTTTCGTCGTCGAACGTCTCGCGGAGTCATGTCATCCAAGAGTTCAGCTTAGCGTTCCATTGTGAAGATTCCGTTGTGAAGACAGAGGCATCAACAAGCCTCGTGCAAGCGGACAATGTTAGGATGATCTAGAAGCTTCATAATCGCCATCTCCTCCGTGAACCTCAAGGCAAACTTGGTCGGACATAAAAGCCGAAAAAGTCTATGCTATGAACCGCCCCGCCGTCCGAAACCTTAGGACCCCACCTCTCGACATTCTTGACTCTTTTCTTGTTGATCGTCTTGACTGCTCTCCATTGTCCGGTGTCCTTGCAGCTTTTAGGCAGAATGCAGCGGCGGCACAGCGAGGACTGGCCATGGCCTTGTATCGACACTTCTGCACAGATCCGAAGGAGCCCTCACCCAAGACCTTGGCAACAAACACAGGTGTGGGAAAAGCCAGGAGGAAAGTAAGTCGTCCCGGCGCGCGATGTTCACTGGTGCGCAGTATCTTCTCGCATATGTCAAACACCGTGAAGCCCTAAACCCTAAACCCCTAAACCCTAAAGCCTGCGTGCGGCTTCGTGGGCTTTTGGTGCGTAAGATTTCAACATCGGGTTACAAGCTGGCTGTTGCCCTGCTGGCAAACTGGCATGTTTGCATGTGGGGCTTCGCCAGCCGCCTTTTCTTCTCCACCACCAGTACAGGGCTTGCTTCGATGAGCATCTTTGGGGTCACCAATACGTCAACTCATGTAGCTTCCAAAGAAACTTCTTGTGAAGATGTGGGCCCCTGCGGGTATATACCTGTCTGTTGGGCCGGGATCTTTGGCGCAGCTTGAAACTTCTAACTTCATAATCCTTTCACGAGTTCCAGTCTTCCAGAGGCTCTCCACGGCCGAGTTGAGCCCTTTTCGTTCGGCATGTCGGCACTAGGGCTAAACTGGACTGCTGAATCCAAGCAGCACGGTGTTGCACCGTGTACTGTTAACATGTCAGGTGTCTTAAGAAAACCTGAATTGACTGCCCGGCTACCTCCTTCTCAACTTCGTAGAACTCCTCCAGCTTTCCTCTGTTCGAGGCCGCAAAGGCTCCGATGGAGAAACCTCCAGCTTTGACGGACAGCTTGGCACGCGCCTGTCCAGGACACGAACAAGAGTCGCTTGTGATCAAAATATACACTCGCGAAGATAAGATTGCAAGGGGGCCTTGAGGCACTGACGAAAGACCGCCCCTGGACTTGGGGCGCCGATGTCGAGACAGCTTTGTCCGACAGGTTTTCCCGCCCTTCACTGCGATGCCGTGCGAATTTCGTCGACTTCCACAGGCTGTCGGACACAGGGCGAAAAGCTAGCCACTAGAACCTCAGAATCATGAAATGTCGGTTCGGTTCTCCGTGCAAGCATCGTATTGCTCGATACACAAGTCTTCAGAGGCTTTCGAACAGGAATTTCGGCACGGCCGGATCTCGTTGGGAGAGCACGCCGAGGGGAGATGTTAAAAGCAAACGCACCCCATGATCGTGAAAGACTGTCTTCAAAGAACGCAACGTATCAGAACCCATCTTTCCCGACTACATGCTGTCCTGCCTGCGGAGTGTCGGCTTTACGGATCTCCATCTTTTCCTCCTTTCCAGAAAGCAAGCTCTAACATGCTCTAACATGTCTGGCACACGTGGAGAGAGGTAAGGCGTAGCACCTTGCAGCATGCAAACATGCTTCCCATAGCACCTGCCACACAGGTCGATCATTTCGTTGTTTTGAGGACACTGACTCAGCGATCTTTGCCAACAACAGGAACGGCGCACCGGCCACATGTGCGGGGCGGGATTTCCGCAAGGCATCCACACCCACATGCCATGCAGTCGTATTAACAGCCGTGGCCGTGAGAAGCTTGCATGGTTTGCTGCTGTCGCTCTGTACCTATCTGTCCCTTGGCAGCTAAGCAATGGCGTTCATGAAGGTGATGTTCATTGTCAGTGACGATCGATTCTTTGGTTGCAGAGTACAGGCTTCATGCATGACGGCTTTGACTCTACATGGCAACGGCCTTGCAGCCTCAACTTGCAAACAACTGCCAATGGCTCATGGCTCGGCTAACCAGAAGCATCCGCACCCGCAAATCAGCGCCTAAGCCACGAGAGCGCCGGCCCGTACTAGCTGCGCAGGTTTGTGTCGGAACACCTCCCGTTTTTTCGCGCTGCATCGTGCAATCAAGGCATATTGCCTCAGCTCTAGCTTGAAGCTACTTGATGTACTGCTTCAGATCCTTGCGTAAGAAATCAAAGAGTTCACACTTGCCTTTAGCATCTGGCGCTATGCAATCCATGTGACCGGCATTAAGGCTGACATTCTGAAACTTGCCCAGAGTCAGCGCACTCCAGTCCTGCATATGCTCTGGCTGGCTGCCCTCATCCAAGAGCGGTGCAAATGCTGTGATGTTTGCAGGAAATGCTTTGAAATCCTTGTCTGGATCTGGGTACATTGCATCACGATACTGGTGCCGCATCAGGGAGAGCATCTGAGACAAGAACTTGCTGCCCTTCACCTGCTCGACAAACTCCTCGTCGCTGGTTTCTACCGCTACTCTCCTGAGAACCACATTCTCCGGCTGAAGGCTGCTGAACCAAGTCAAGAGCTCCCGATCTCCAGCGCCTTTGAAGGAGAGGCTGAGATTCTCCCAGGCTGTGGGCTGCCCCTCTCGCATAGCACCACATGCTGCGATGTAAACGTGCTTGACTCTAGAGCCCAGGCGGGTGGCGACGCATGCAGCTGGAGAAGCGCCTCTGCTATGCCCGAACAGTATCAGAGGCTGCTCCTCATCTTGTGCAATTTCATTGATCTCGTCAATCACCCGATCAATGTACTTCGCCCAAGGCTTTCGTCCTTCACCTTCCAGGCCATATCCATCTGGAAAGTGGAAGATGGCGGCGTCTGCCACTCCAGAGGCACGCACTGCCTCCATTAGCTTTTCCAGCTGCTTCTCCCCGTCCTTGACAGAAAAGCCTCCCGAGTACCAAGCACAAAATAGTGGAGGCCTGGGAGGTGGTTTGAGGATGCAGCTCAGCAGGTCCTTGTCTGCAACGTTGATGCTGACCCAGCCGGTGTCCGGGCCGGATCCCGTCAAGAGCTTGTATTGCAAGCGCTTTCCCACCAGTTCAACCTGTTCCACGAGAGAAGCAAAAGACAAACGCTCTGGCAGCTCTTTGCTCTTCAGGCTCTGTTCCTCACGTACCACAAGACCGCCCTTGTCTTTGCCACCGATGACTTCCCAAACTGCTTTTTCTGCCATGGCATCCTTCTAGGCTTCCTGGCGTTCTACAGGTGCCCTTCGAAGACTCAAGCCGAAGCTCCGCAAAGCTGTCAATGAGAAGGTACTTTTTTTACACCTCTCTGGTCCTCTCCGAGTCTGTCGCGAGGCGGACGCGTGTATATGTACGCATATATCTGTCTAAAATCGGTATATGTTTGCATGCATGCATGCATGCATGCATGCATGCATGCATGCATGCATGCATGCAACCGGACGAAATATCTGCCAGGCATTGCGACTCTGCTCACACGCCGCCAGACCCCAGCAGCATTTCTCGGGCGCTGACTTCAACTGGTGCCTCGAGACACTACACTGGAAACCCCAAGATTTCAAGGAGCCGTGCGGACTATATACGGAACAATTGCTTAGCGGACCCTGCCGCTACATGAACGTGCAAGCTTGCTTTCGCGAGAGAGACATGACATCTAGGCTTCGCAAGAAGCAGTGGGATCGAAAGCTTTTCTACTCATCTACTCATCACCAACAATCAAAGTTTTCGGACACGACGTCAGTGACCTCTTGCGGATCAGAGGGTGGTCAAGCCCCTCGACAAGTCCGGGTGCTTTTGGCTCTGCTTCCCGTACTTCTGGTTCATCCTCCGGCATTGGCGAGCGAGGCCCGAAACGAAGCATTGCCACAACACCAGCCACACCAAAAAAGGAAACGAAGTACAGCCCACCGCCACAGCACATGCCCACAGCACACGCCAGCCACACACCGCAGGCGGTTGTGAGCCCCTTAATTTGGCCAGAGTCTTTGAAGATCAATGCTCCCCCCAAGAACCCCACACCTGAAGGTAGCGCAGCAGCAACTCGAGATGAATCCCATGTTTGCGTTCCTTCTTCGAAAGCATAAAGAGAACCAATGGTGAAGATGCATGCCCCGAGCGAAACTAAGCTCATAGTGCGCACGCCAGCTCCTCTGTTGGACTCTCGCCTTTCGATACCAAGCAGTGCGCCGATCACCAAGGACATCGTCATCCGCCGGGCGAATTCTGTCTCTTGCTGCGTCATAAAAAGAAGCTGTGGCCAGCGATGCGTTCTGTATCTCCAATCTTCCGGGAACAGGACGTTAGGAACTTTGGGAACACTGCTCTCTGCGGCGTGCGTGTCTTTCACGAACTGCTCCTGACAGCAGGTGTTTCACCACAAGGCATTTGAAATTTGGTGTTGGCATGCGCTTCTCTTGAGTGCTACGTTCTCCCGTTTCACGAAACAACGAGCAGGGTCACTTTATCCTGACAGCCAAGAGTCTACCAATTGCTCACCGTAGAGTGGCTCAACAATCAATGACACGACCGCAGCGACTGTAAATGTAGATGTCAACACTACGGCAGATTTAAAGGCCAGAGACTTGCCGCCAGACGCTGATGCTGACGCCGGATTCCAGAAATGGTGCGTTTCTGCCCCCTGCGCCATCGCAACAGAACTATCCAAAACAGGCCTAGCAAGTCTGCACCTTCTGAGCCACAATGGCCTGTTTCGGTGGGCTCGATGCACCATGTGGCAACGGGGGATACCACGGACAACGAAAGGTGCACCGCAATGGCGAACACAACCTTCGCTGATTGATTTTGCTGCTGTCGCATCCGTGAGAGACCTGAATTACGTGCGATACTAGGTAACACCAGTAAACTGTGTCAGAGCTTCTGCAACTATTTTTGCTGCACTTGCAATCAAATTGATCGCTTCATAATTTGATTATGAAGTGATCCTCGCACCTGCTCACCTCTGCAACTATGCCTGCTGCACTTGCAATCAGACTATAAACTGATCCTCGCACCTGCTCACCTGTCTACTGACAGGGCCACGCAACCGCCGCTGAAACCACAATAAAATTGGCGATGGGCGAAACATGGCGAAACCCAGCATGCAGCCTCTGCCTCTGCCTGTGCTACCGGGGTGGCTGAAGCGGAATGCTGCAATGGAATGTCGGGAACCGTTCATGCAAACCAGACCATGCACGAAGAACACCTCAATGCACACTGAAGCTAGGCGAGGTTGGAAGAATGCCGGCACATGGTGCGCTGTTGCGACATGCGCATTTTGACCACAAGGATGCCGTCAGCGCGGTTACGATGCTCAGGCGTTTGCATATAGCATCAATTAGCTAAAGGATGGGAGTCCAGATGCCACCAACTGCGGCATCATGACCCGGATCGCCACCGGCGACAGCATGGCGGCATCGCCCTAGCCAAGCACGACCTGCATGCTGGCAGAGTTAATACTTCATTCAGCGGCCGGTGTCGCTGTGCCTAACTTTGCCGAGTCCCATTCTTTCTGAACATCCACTGTCTTTGGCCTCCGTCGCGGTCGGACAGCCCAAAGTCCAGGTGTACGTGGTCCCTGCCGGACAGACCTGCAGACCCACCTGCATCAGAGCGTTGGTTTGCTCTCATTTGTCTCATCTTTGCAATGCATTCTGAAACTAGAGAACAAGTGTCCCGAAAGCGCTTGGATCAGCGAGATGGCCAGCACCGCGACAGCTGACATCATCTCATCCATTCATCCTCCATCTGCATGGGTCCATCCATGCGTATGTCCGTACGTCCGTCCGTCCATCCATCCATCCGTCCAACCATTCATCCAACACCTTCGTAAGCCCTTCTTTCAACCTTTCTGCAAAGCCTCCACAGACACTTATTAACATAATGCCAGCGTACATCTCCGAACAACGACAGAGCGTTGCATGACAAGCATGACGACCATGACGACCACGAACACGACGACCAAAACGACCAAGACGACCAAGGCTACCAAGACCACGACATCCAGGACCACCACGACGACGACGACCATAGACCACTCACTAGGACTTCGGACATCCAAAGCTGCAACGAGGACAACGACGACAAGGACGACCACGACCACTAGGAGACACGCGGAGACCACCAGAAGATCCTACCAAACCACCACGAGACCACCGGCACGCCAGCAGGGCGCCACGGCCACTTTGATTGCCCGAGGTACTGGTGGGATTTAGACATTTCAGACGTAAACGAATGCAGCATCACAAACGCAGCGCGCGAACACGCCGGCATCACCGAGTTGAACTTCGCACTTTGATACCAAAATAAACTAATGTATTGTCATATGCAATGAATCGCGCGTTCCGCACGACGCAGACACCCATGTCCACCGAGATGGTTGTCAACTTTAAGCAAGGATCGTCGCACGCACAGCGCGATTTCGCGTGCCCTTCTCTCTAGCTGTGCCCCGAGCTTTCAAACATGTCAGATTTAACTACTGCGAGAGATCCTCACGAAAACCGTTTTACTATCTATGGAGCACTACTCTATCGATCGCTATCGTATAACTCACTACATCCAACCAAACATCAATCCATCCTCAATCCTTCCTACAGTCTGCCAAGATTGGAGAACTGTGCTGCAGTAACCACTTCCATGGACAAACCCTTTGCACACTTTCGGTAGAAAATCGAGGACAGGAATGCAAGAGCTTTCAATGAGCACTTTCTCCAAGCTTCCATAAGGTGCCAAGCTGCGGCATCATCATATGCGTAGCCATAAACATTTTTGCCTCAAGCAGGATCAGTGCATTACTGAGAGAAAGAGTGCTGATCCATCCACTCAGATCTCGACACTTCTGGTGGATCAACTTGACAAAGGCACTCTTCTCCACAGGACCTGCCCTGCACAGCAAGCGATTGGATGAAGACATTTGGTACAGGAAATGGTGCTGCATGTGCGACTCCTGCACTGTTGCGGGCTCACAGGTGGTGTCGGACAGCAGTACATTTTCGCAACATCACCTCGAAACACTGCTATGTGCGGAACAACTGCAATTGCCTCAGTGTCGATGCCGACTAAGCCGAGATGCTATCGGGGGCATGCTGACCAACTTTGTTGCCCCAGTTCCTTGGCGATTCCCACAAGCGCTGCTCTCGAACAAGCCGGCAACACTCACCACACGAACCGTGTTGATTCGCAATCCGCTTCAAACATAGACGACCGTACAAACTTCTTGCAGCGAGCAGGCGAGTATGTAAGTTTGCCACAGGGCGAATAGCATCCTACAACCTGACAGGTTCCGGAAACAAGCTCCCGAGTCAAGGCCGTAACTTGAAGCTCGGCCTTGGAAGACACGTGGTCCACGACGCGAAGGTCCTGCGCACGGCCACGTGTCCCTTCGCCGTTTTCAGAAGTCTATTCGCCGTCGGTCCTCGTTACCGACACTTCCCAGATTTTCAACCGCTGGACACTCCGCAAAAGATAGACCCAAGCAGTCAATCTTCTTGGCCTTAGACATGCTGGATCTTCCATGAGCCGTGCAACAACCCGGGATTAGAGATGTAGCAGGAATGCCTGCGGACACTGACTGTCGACTTCCAGCTTGAAAGGCAACCTTTGCTGGGCATCGCTTCGATACATGCGAACGGTATCTCACAAACCTGCAGGCACACCCACAGACGAGCTACGAATATCCATCGACAGCGCTTGTGTCCCACCAGTCGCACCCCTGGCGAATCGCAAGTCACAAGAAATCGCTGCGCAGGATGGAAGGCGAGGCTTGAGCCCCTTCTCCAAGCCGTGAAAAGCGAGGCAAAACAACAATGGCAACAAAACGGGCCGCGAGGGTGCAAAAATGGAGAAGGAAGCAAAACACCCGTGACCTCTCAGGAGACTCCGGGTTGTGAAGAAGCAACATGCAAATGACATGAAACCTGCTGCCAAAGGGGGCCAAAGTGTTCAAGAAGTGAAACACTGCATAGGCAGCGGCAACACTTACACGGAGGAACTCGGAAAGCATCGCCAAACAGTAGCTTCAAAGAACAAGCGAACAAACCAATCCAAGAAGCAATGGTCAATTCTGCGAGCGTATTACACTGCATATGCGGGTATACGTGCGCTCTTCTACAAAGATACGTGTTACATGTGTCTCAGCATGCTTTTTCCCTTACACACATTCTGACGAAGAGTAGGGGGCTCAGGCCCAGCAGAAGTCATGGGACTACAGTGACTGCAACGAACACCACGACTGTGGCAGAGACTATGGGAAAAGACCCGTACCAGTAAGTATGACCTGTGACTCGAGACATGAACGGATGAAACTGCGAACAACGAGACAATCTGCACACAAAAAATCATACGCTTCTTGAGGTCGAATGTTGAAATGTGGCATCCGTTGTCACTCTTGAGCTTGTGTGACTTGTGTAGTGTCAACACTTCGTGCTGGCAAGGCCTTGTTATCTTTGGCGCAATCCACCCCCACGGCGCCAAAGCTTGCCTGCTCCAGGAGTCAGAAGCCATGCATCACAAGGGGTCCCAAGGGCTTGCCTCGAACTTGGAATCTATTGGAGGGGCACCTCGACTTCCAATTCTCCCAAGCTTGGGACCAAGAGCTATCCCAACACAATGCTATCTGGCCAGCGTGATGAAGTGGATGGCTGGTGCTGCTTGGCCGCAGCCGCCAGCTGGGCAGTCTTGGCCATCACCTCCACTGGAGCCTCCAGGTGCGAGCATGGTGTGCAAAGATGCCGTGCGAGGGGCGTACTCAAGGGAGAAGTCCGAACAGCGAAAAAGATGTAAACTTAAACGTCAGCATCCATCGACAAGTCCGCCTGCACCTGGAACCTGCCCCGCACACGAGCTGGAAACAAACATCCGTGCCATGAACCTGCCGTAACTTACATGGCCAGATTGCGGCGACCCTGCAGCTGGGCAATCACATACATAGCAAGTACGCTAACACCTCGTAGCCATGGCCACCAGCTGGAAGAACACAATTGCTCGTACATCTAACCTGGGTGATGGAAAAGTCGGACGCCAAGAGTCGGAACCAAGTCGGTGCAAGTCGTGAACATAGCCGGGAGAAGTCAGTAATGAGCACGGCGAGAAGCAGGAAATGCATAGGCGTGAGTCGGGAAAGAAAGAGGCGAATCAGGAAACAGTCCACTCAGATTGTCATGGGTGGTCATTGTCCAAAGCCAATAACTTCCTAAGCTGGGGCGAAATCAGGGTTGTGACACCCTCACCCGCTTACACCCAATCGCCACAGCATCCCGACATTAAGCCACGGCAGACATAGCCAGAAACCGGGAAACGAACAATGCACCACAAGCCCCCCAGCCATTCTATTGATAAACTCGGTCAATTGAGAACTGACACCCGCAGCCGTACCCGAAGATATATTGCATCTGATGCTGCATAACTACAGGACTTCTAGTCCTATCACGACTACTCCCACTCCCACTCCCACTCCTACTACTACTACTACTACTACTACAACTACTACTACTACTACTACTACTACTACTACTACTACTACTCTCTACTCTCTACTCTCCACTCTCTACTCTCTACTCTCTACTCTCTACTCTCTACT